TAGTGATCTAGATTCCAAGTTTCAGAACCTCAGAAACTCTATCAACAAGGGAACCCTTTAGATAACCTGACATACATAGGATGGAGATATGTGGATCACCTAAAACCTTTTAGGCCTTCTCATTCCTTAGCACCTTCTCTCTAGCCCTTGGCAACTCTGAATATGAAAATAACCAAGCATTAATGCTGAGAGTCTAGAATGACTTGGGAGAAATAACAGGAAAGGCTCAGAGGATCTGAACCTATGCAAATATATGCTGCTTTGGTCTTCGCAGCTCTATCTTTTCTTGTTCTTGTTAAACCAGTGGCAACCCTGTTGCGTGGGGCAAATTCGGAATGCAATGTAAACAAGGTGCTTTAACCATAGAACAGGAAGAATTTAAGCAGTAACTCACATAAAAAATAAATTTTAAAAGTAGTCTTACTGGCTTAGCCAAAGTTCAGGTTTAAGATTGCAGGATCCTACAGGCAAGCCACAGAACTAGCTGTAGAGAGAGCACTTAAGTCAGGAATTAACTACCACTGCTCTCACCCTATACTTAGAGCTTTGCAAAGAAGAGTTCCTGTAGAATTTTTAATGGCTAAGAATTTTTAACCCATCTTGATGTGGAAGAATTGTTCTATATACCCAAATACTTAATACAGGCATACTTTGTTTTACTGCGATTCACAAATACTACTTTAAAAAAAAGTTGAAGATTTCTGGCAACCCTGTTTCAAGCAAGTCTATCAAGACATTTTTCCAACAGCATATGCTCACTACCTGTCTGTGTCATATTTTGGCAAATCTCACAATATTTCAAACTTTTTAATTGTTATGTCTGTTATGATTTGTGATTAGTGAACTCTGATCTAATTACTGTAACCATTTTGGGGGACGATGAACTGCAGCCACTTAAGACAGTAAACTTAGTCATAATCAATAAGTATGTTTTTGACTGCTCTACTGACCAGCCCTTCAATCTCTCTTCCTCCCCTCAGGCTTCCCTATTTCTCTGAGACACAACAATATTGAAAGTAGGCCAATTGATGACTCTACAATGGCTTCTAAGTGTTCAAGTGAAAGGAAGAGTAGTCACACATCTCTAACTTTAAATCAAAAGCTAAAAATGATAAAGCTTAGTGAAGAAGGCATGTCAAAGCTGAAAAAGGCCAAAGGCTAGGGCTCTTGGGGCAAATAGCCAAGCTGTGAATATGAAGGAAAAGTTCTTAAAGGAAATTAAAAGTGCTACTCTGGTGAACACACAAACGACAGGAAAGCAAAAAAGCCTTATTACTGATATGGAGAAAAAAGTTTTAATGGTCTGGATAGAAGATCAAATCAGCCACAAAATTCCCTTGAGCCAAAGCCTAAGCCAGAGCAAGGCCCTAAATCTCTTTTCAGGGGCTAATGCAACTGGTGACTTTAAGTTAAAGCCAGTGCTCACTGGCCATTCCAAAAATCCTAGGGCCCTTAAGAATGATGCTAAATATACTCTGCCTGTGTTCTCTAAATAGAACAAAGGCACATCTGTTTAGATCATGGTTTACTGAATATTTTAAGCCCACTGTTGGGACCTACTGCTTAGAAAAAAAGACTCTTTTCAAAATATTACTGCTCATTGACAATGTACATGGTCACCCAAGTGTCTCAATGGAAACATACAAGGAGATAATAGTGTTTTCATGGCTGGTAACACAACTTCCATTCTGCAACCCATGGATCAAGGAGTATTTTAGACTTTCTTTTTTATTTATTATTTTTTAAAGACAGGGTTTCACCATGTTGGTCAGGTTGGTCTCGAACTCCTGACCTCATGATCCACCTGCCTAAGCCTCCCAAAGCACTGGGATTACAGGCATGAGCCACCATGCCCGGCCCTACTTTCAAATCAAATTAAGAGATACATTTTTCAGCCAGGTGTGGTGGCTCACGCCTGTAATCCCAGCACTTTGGGAGGTCGAGGTGGATAGATCACCTGAGGTTGGGAGTTTGAGATCAGCCTGACCAGCATAAAGAAACCCTGTTTCTACTAAAAACACAAAATTAGCCGGACATAGCAGTGCATGCCTATAATCGCAGCTACTCAGGAGGCTGATGGACGAGACTTGCTTGAAACCGGGAGGTGGAGGTTGTAGTAAGCCAAGATCACACCACTGCATTCCAGCCTGGGCAATCAGCAAAATTCCGTCTCAAAAAAAAAAGAGAAGAAATACATTTTTTTGTCAGGCTACAGATGCCTTACAAATCACAGATAGTGATTCCTCTGATGGATCTGGAAAAAGTAAATTGAAAACCTTCTGAAAAACGTTCACCATTCCAGGTGCCATTAAAAATAATCATGATTCATGGGAGGTTGTCAAAATATCAACAATAACAGGAATTTAGAAGAAGTTTACTCCAACCCTCATAGATGACGATTTTGAGGGCTTCAAGCCTTCTGCCGTGGATAAAGTAACTGCTGATGTGATAGAAATAAAAAGAGAACTAAAATTAGAAGTGAAACCCCAAGATGGAACTGAATTGCTATAATCTCATGATCAAACATGGATAAGGAGTTGCTTCTTAGGGATGAGCAAAGAAAGTGGTTTCTTGAGAAGAAATCTGCTAAAGATGCTGTGAATGTTGGAATGACACAAGGAATTTAGAGTATTACATAAACCTACTTGATAAAGCAGCAGCAAGTTTTGACAGGACCCTAATCTTGAAAGTTCTATTGTGGGTTAAATGCTATCAAACAGTGCTGCATGCCAAAGAGGGATCTTCTGTGAAAGGAAGAGTCAATCTGGGGCAAACTTCATTGCTGTCTTAAGAAATTGCTGTAGCTACCCCAACCTTCAGCAACCACACCACCCTGATCAGTTGGCAGCTGTCAACAGCGAAACAAGACTATCCACCAGCAAAAAAGACTGTAATTCACTGAAAGCTCAGGTAATTGTTACTATTTTTGGCAATAAAGTATTTTTAAATTAGGGCATATACACTGTGTTTTTAGGTAGAATCTTATTGTATAAGTGATAGACTACAGTATTTTATATGCATTGGAAAACCAAAAAATTCGTGAGACTCACTTTATTGTCATAGTTGCTTTATTGCAGTGGTTTGAAACTGAACCTGCAATATCTCCGTGGTATGCCTGTACCCCCTTAAAAAATATCCAGTATGAAATACACAACTATGTGAATATTAATATGACATACTGGGAACATCTTGATGCAGTTACCTTGCCACATATTTCAGTAGCAAACCAGTGCCAAACACACTTTTAGGCACTAAATGACTTAATATATTCCAAATCTACTTCTTGGGAGGCCACATACTGACAGCAATCATTGACATACTTATTTCAACAGTAACCTTTAAAATGACTATGGGAGCAAATTTTCCCACAGTTCAGTTAAAAGAAACAAGGGTAAAAGCGTATTTTAAAATATCTGTATCTGGTATGGAGAAGAAAGTATGGCACAATGATATGATCTGGCTGTGTCTCCACCCAAATCTCATCTGGAATTTTATCTCCCACAATTCCCACATGTCATGGGAAGGAATGGGTGGGAGGTGACTGAATTATGGGGGTGGGTCTTTCCTGTGCTGTTCTTTTCAGAGTGAATGAGTCTCACCAGATCTGATGGTTTTAAATGGGAGTTTTCCTGTACAACCTCTTTTTGCCTGCCGACATCTATGTAAGAGGTGACTTGCTCTTCCTTGACTATCACCTTCTGCCATGATTGTGAGGCCTCCCCAACCAGGTGGAACTTTTAAGTCTAATAAACCTGTTTTTTTTTTCTTTGTAAATTGCCCAGTCTTGGTTATGTCTTTATCAGCAGCATGAAAATGGACTAATACACACAGCTATACAAAAGTTGTCTGTTAACTAAAGGCAGTATCAATATTATTAAACATTTAAAAACCTTTCAGTTTCAAGGTTGTTTGGGAGTCTTCAAACAGTCAAATTATATCTTCCTGATTAGAATCTTCCTTAGAAACACTAGTCAAAACACACTGTACTATGAAACAAATAAGACCAGGAAGTCTTAAAAGACACCAGTTATAATCCTGATGCCATCAAGTGCCCATTCTGCACAAGTTTTCACAGAAAACTGGAGGAATTTTACTGCCAAAACAATAAAAGTTGGGTACAATGACTAGTGTGTGAGTCTGCTTCATAAACTATCCATACTAATTTATGTTAAACTAGGATCCTATACTAATTTATATTAAAATATTAAATCCTCACCACTCAACAAAGGGATAATACAGAATTTTTAAGTTTGCAATGGAAATTGTCTTTCCATATTTCAAAAAAAAAAAAAAATTAACCTCAAAAAGCCCAATTATTCTACATTTAGAAACTAGTAATTTTTTTCTTTAGGCAGAAATTAAAAATATTACCTATACTTAAAACCACGCATTTCACAAATGAGTAGAAACAGGCTCCTTCAATTTTTTTTTCCCTATGACAATTATGATTTAGTCAAAAGGATATACTTAGGAATTAGTGCCCAAACAAGCAACATTTTTAAAGAGCATTTAGTTTCAAGTCAGTGTTTGCGATGTCAACTGCATTTCATTGAAACACATAGCAAAAAAAAAAAAGCTTTTCTCTCTGGTCCATAAGAAGGAAAACAGACTCTACTTCTCTACTATCACTTTACCCCAAATGTATCATCCCTTCTTTAAGATAATGGATGTTTAAGACTCAAGAGCCAAACATCTAATTTGAACATTTAATAAGTGATTCCTATGGAATTTACAATCATAAGCCATTAATATAACTGATAAGCATAACAAGGATACCTTACAGCTGTGTGACATTTTATTACTTTTGCAAACTGCTTTTACATAAAATAACTGCTTGTGGAATTTTTAGAGTGACCAGCCATGATCAAATGCAGCTACAATAGTGCCACACAACGTGTCTGGGGAATGAATCATGAGAGTTGCTTGTGTTTTTTTCTTAAAACAGGAAAAAAACGACCTGTCTTTGTTTTTTGAAGATGCATAAAAAATTAGTTTCTCACCTTCTGGTATTTCTGCCACCATTTATATGAACACTGGTCTTCCCATGAGACAGGTTTTGAAGGAAATATCTGGCATTTATTGAGGGATTCTAACTGAACTGCAGACATGGTTGAAGGCAACACACATTCGGGAAGAATTTGCACTTTAGCTTGCTGGATTCTAAAATAAAGAGAACCAAGCATGGTATTCATTTCTAAGATCCACTAGCTCAAACTGTTAAGTTTCTAAACAGTGATGATAATTTTAAATAGTAAGATTTTCAAAATTGTATCTTTTAAACATATTCATCAAATGCCGATATTAAGATATAAAAACTTTCAGAAAATAATTTTATTTCCTAAATCATACCACAGTTAAAACCAAACATAACCTAAGCTATGGATTTTCAATGTCACTGTGGAATGGTAAGGGAGATCTATACATTTCAGATAAATACAGAGTCTATAAATGAAACAAAGTTTAAAAAAAAAATCAACATATACTACTGCTTTATACTTCTAATTTCTTAAACATTCTTAAGATCCCCAAATTCTTCTATCCCTACTTCTTATACTGCTTAACTCTTACATATATCCTTTCTCATAAGTTATCTAATCTGAGTAGAGAAATACAGAGAAAAATCAAGAATGTATTTACATAGACGAATTAAAATTAACACTAAAGAATTACATGCAGTCTTTCTGTGTGTATTCCTTTTCACATTCTTAAAAGTTTACCTTGAATACACAAAGGATCACACTATACATTATATTTTTTCTTAAGTCATTTAAAAATGTCATAATAAAGTCATTTCCAAGATGCTACTTGAGAATATAATTGCAAACATCTTATCATGAACTAGTGCAAACAGGAAGGTTGTATCTATGAGCTGTCTTCCTGTGAGGCATTCTATCTCTTAGAGTATAGCTTTTGAAATGTAGAATATGTAACTACATTCAAATGCTAGTACAAAACACTGTTAGACTGACAAAATCAAATATATTAAAAGTTTCTGCTTTCTTACTAGTTATACCTAAGACTTCTAAAGTAGTCTTTCGTAATAACCACTGTTTGACCACAAAATACTATGGATGAAATTCTGACATTTTACTTATTTATTCAAAGAAAATAGCTCAGTGTGTCAGAAAGTATCTAGGTTTAATAATAGTAGACTCACTCTACTAACTTTATTTCCTTCCTGCAAACTCATTAGAAATACTCAGAAAATTTCTGTCCACATGACTTGGGAAAATGTTAAAAATTTTACTATAGTCAAACTATGGTCAAGTGTTCTTGCATTATTAGAGCTCATTAGAAACAAAATCTCAATTTTCTTCACCTTATTCATGAACAAAAATAACTTGTTAATTATATTATTAAGGTAAAGTATATACCATCCTGTAGAAATTTTTAGAAATCTGATTCTTCTTTAAAGTTATAAGCAACTGAATTAAGAATTATGCTTTACCCAACTACTGTATAAGATTTGATTATGATAAAAATAGCAACATTATTGATCCCCTGGCTTATAGATCATGTTAATAATTAGTCTGCAGTACAAGCTGTCTGAATTGTCTTGCAGGATTAAAGAATGCTCTCCTTCACCTGGTTAAACATGCCCAGGGTCCACTGCATACATAGTGGCTGGTTCTTCTCCCAGCACCTGAGTTTTGTTTTTAACATAAGCTAGTTTTGTTTCTTTCCAACTGGTTTATCACAGTTGTTTTGTGATTACAGCAACATAATTTATACAAATGTTATAAAAACCAGTGAAATAGGAGTACAACAGTAACACTGCTTTAAGGAACATAAAGTTGAGACATAAAAAAATTGCTTTCAAATTAGGTACTGACAACTTTAATAGTAGGAAAAAAACTGCACAAATCTGGAAAAATTTTGCACTCACATTGCCTTGTGACTATCTTTAGAATCTCTCCTTAAAGAAAAACTAGCAGTATAAACTGTGGATAATGCATGATGCAAGTGTCAGAAAGTCTACAGTCATTTCCAATCTGCAGACCTGCTTCAGTTAAAAGACCTTGGTCTCTCCAAATGAAAAATGAGTCAATTTATATACTTTAAGTAAAAATAAAATATTTAAGTTATGTATGTGTAACATTTTGTGATTTCCAGCTTAACTTTTTGACGAACAATTACTGGTATCAATCATGACAGGTAAGAAGTCTTCTCTTGTGATGCCAACAGGATATATCAATCCCCTCCTCCTCTCTACATGCTAAGAAGTAGGAACTTCTGAAGAGTCCTACGTCAATGAGACCTGTTTTTATTAATTAAAAAAAATTTCCATGTGTTCAGAAGTGCGCGCACACACAGAGACAGATTCTGGTTGCTGTATCTTTTTTTTTTGAAATGGAACCCCAATCTGTTGGCCAGGCTGGAGTGCAGTGGTACGATCTTTGCTCATTGCAACCTCTGCCTCTCATGTTCAGATGATTCTCGTGTCTCAGCCTCCCAAGTAGCCGGAATTACAAGCATGTGCCACTGTGTCCCCCACTCCTAATTTCTTGTATTTTTAGTAGTGATGTGGCTGGTCTCAAATTCCTGGCTTCAAGAGATCCACACACCTTGGTCTCCCAGAGTGCTGAAATTACAGGTATGAGCCACCACACCTGGCCTCTGTAGTATACTTCTAATACATAAAGTATCATTTAGGTAAAAGACAAATGGATATTTTTATTTTTTAAAATATTTAATTTTTCTATATGCTTATTTCTCCAAAAAAATAAATGAATATTATGTATTTTACTGGAAAAAGGGAAACTGGGTTGAGTTTCAAATGTGCTATGGATAAATTCTGGTACAATGGAAAGAGTACTAGTTTGGAAGTCAAGGGATCTAGACTGTCGCTTACTAGCTATTTAGGCAAATTACTTATCCTCTCTAGTACTTGGCATTCTGATATAGAAAAAGAATAGACTTTACTAGATCACCTCCAGAATTTCTTTGATTTCATCATTTCCAGTGAAGGTGGTTACGGGGCCAGAGAAGCAGTGGAGCCAAGAGACATCTCATTCCACAGAGGCCTTTTAAATGCAGACAGACATACCCTAATGAGAGGCCTTAATAATGGGTCCACAGAATACTAGAGAGGATATCCCCCTAAGGCTTGTCTAGCTCTGTCAGTCTGATGTTAATCTTTACTAGAGTCAAACAGCCATTCCTTGTCTTGTTTTCAGAGTTAATGATGTACTGCCATCTTGTGTTCAATAGTTTTTCTACACTCAAGTCACTAATGTCAAGATAGTCTGAGAAGCATACTTTTCCCTCAAGTCAATTTTCCTTTATGGTTCTGGAATAGTATTCACAAATATTCAAAATTGTATGAAAATAAGAAGTACTTTAAAAATTGAACTGTTAGCAAAATCCACAGTAATAAAACAGTGTGCTAATTATCATAATGCAGACCCTACTGGAGATCATTCTTTCATTTGTTCTTAAAAATTTATGGTCCTAAATGTAAAACATAAATAAGTCTTGGTCACTGTTCTCAAACAACTTATCTACTGAGGGAGAGACATATAATCCTGTAAGGACAGTGCAATGTGGTAAGGCTATCAGAATTTGCACAATGAATGTTCTGGAAAAGTACCAGGAGAGAACTCAACAGCCTAAGAGCTCTGGCAATCCCATCTCACATTTCTTTATGCTCTCTTTAGCTCCAAAGAGCTGCCTGACACGTCAATATTTTTACAATTCAAAAATATATAGGTATGCCCACCACGTGGAACAAAACAGACAAAACCTTCCTGCCCTCATGCTGCTGCTATCCTTTTTTTAGTGTTAACCCCCCACCCCCCAAAAACTCAGAACTTCCATGTGTTCAGAAGACATTACCTGTGCAACACAGAAGTCTGATGAGATTTTCAACTCTGGGTATAAATTGGAAACCAGTTCATTAGTACTATATGGAACCCAGGATTGTGTATCTGTAAGACCTCACAGGTGACATGTCACAGTTGAGAAGCACTCTCTTAAGAGGTAACATCCAATGATCAAGGCAAATGCTTTATTTTGTTTGCTTTTTAAAAGAAGAGTTTAAACTAGACTTTTTGTGTCTGTTTTAAAGTGTAGCTCTTGACTTTGTGCAAAACCCCGTCATGAGAGCTATGCCAAAATGAGTAATTGCTAAAACAGTACACTAAGGGAATTTCTAAATGTCAGAAGGTACATAGACTACAGGTATTTACTTATCACTTATTATGTAAACAGCATTTCTAGGTGATACAAAATTCACACTAGAGATGGACACTAAATATAAATGGCTTGTATAGCTCAGATAGAGCAGTTGGCAGATGTAACCAGTGTGGCTTTCAAACATAACAACAATGCTATAAAAACCACAGCTGTCCTGGTGAGCACAAAGGCAGCTCACAAGCCTCTGGTCTCCCTAACCTCTTACCCTCTGAGAGGCCTTCAATCCTAAAGAAGCCAAGCCCCAAACAGCACTTCCCTTTGTGTTTACATTACTGTTCTCAAACCTGGAGGGACATTAGAATCACCTGAAACTCATTTTTAAAAGATGCTGCAGCCTCATCACTCTCTGGAGATGGGAGATGAGGTTGGAACTCAAGCTTCTATAGTTTTAAAAGCTTCCCAGGTGATTCTGATGCATAGCAAGGTTGGAAACCACTGGGCTATACCTTAGAAGGGAAAGAGAACAACTAGTTAAAAGTTACAAAATATGAAGGGTCAGCAGAATAGAAAAAGTACAAAACCACTTCATTATATGACATTCACAGAGCTTTAAAGTATATGTTATTTCTTACCCATCTGACTGTGTTCTTAGCTCAAGGACTTTGAACCTTTGTCTTCCAATTGCTTTCACTTTCACTATCTCAATTCCAAAATCCTGTTCTTCTCGATAGGCATATATCTCTGCTGTTGTTCCAAACTGTGCTTCCCTTTCCTGTATATTGCTTCCAAGAAGATTTTAAAAAGAAAGAAATTTGAACATTTGAATTTTAAATATATGCAAATTTGGCAAAATCAATATATATAGGTAAACAATTTATAGAATCAACCCTTCTTATGAAGCTACTATAATTTTATTTATTTATTTGTTTGTTTGTTTATTTGTTTGACACAGAGTCTTGGCACAGACTCTGTCGCCCAGAGTGCAGTGGCACAATCTCAGCTCACTACAACTTCTGCCTCTTGGATTCAAGCAATTCTCCTGCCTGAGCCTCCTGAGCATCTGGGATTACAGGCACGTGCCACCACACCAGGCTAATTTTCGTATTTTTAGTAAAGACAGGGTTTCACCATATTGGTCAGGCTGGTCTCACACTCCCGACCTCAGGTGATCTGCCCGCCTCGGCCTCCCAAAGTGCAGGGATTACAGGTGTGAACCACCATGTCCAGCCACTTTTATTTATGTTTTAATCACATGGGGGATATAGGAGGAGGATTCAGAAACTACAATTAAAGAACTTTAGGAAAAGAAAAGATTTCTAGTCACTGAAAATAATTTAGAACTTACAGGGGTTTAAACTAATTTCCCAAACCACACATTCCTTCACTTTGTGAAATGACTTAACCATTTCTGCTGCTTACTGGCAGTACTAATACGGGGGCGGGAGCTTCCTGTATGCACTTCCTGCCTCTACTGCAGATTTCCTTTATTTGCCATGGGATACTCAAAAGTTCAGCTCCAATTTAAAATGGTACAACTTATCAATTTTGAGAGAGAAAGGGAAAGAACAGACCACTGCTTTTGGAAAAGTAATTCTTTACGTTCAAATATAAAAGCCTTATTTCTTTATTAAAGACAGTTCTTGAAACTAAGATTCCAAAAATGATTTTTATGAAATATTAATGATGAAAAATTTTTCAAATATGGAAAGTTAAATTGTGTATGACAGTGAAGAGCTGAGTTAGATGGTAATGAAATGAACAAAAATACTCCAACTTACACTATCAAATTTCTACTTAACCAAATTCCTCACCTCACATTCTTACGCAACCTCTCCCGTACATGCAAAACAGCCTGCTTTAGCTTTAACACTGACCACTGCAATTACCCATGAGAGGAAATGTATTAAGCAAATAGACTAATATTTTACCTGTATGCAAGAACAGCAAAGGTTCTATCTTTCTGAATTAAATTCCGCACCATACTGACTTCTTGAGGGTGAAAAAGTTGAAGAGGTAATGTCTGTCCAGGAATCAGAATCATCATCACCTGTGGCAGAACTGGAATCACCTGACAGCTGTCGTCATCGTGCAAAGTCCTGCCATGAAATTCTTCCATATCAGCGCCTAGGTACTATTTAAGAACATATATAGGTACCGTGTCATGATTGATATGTAATAAAAATACAAGCTCAACAGACTAAACAGCAAATCACATTAAAAGAAATACACGTTGGGCATGGTGACTCAAGTCTGTAATCTCAGCACTTTGGGAGGCCGAGGTGGGCAGATCACCTGAAGTCAGGAGTTCAAGATCAACCTGGCCAACACAGTGAAAACCTCTCTACTACAAATACAAAAATTAGCCGGGTGTGGTGGCAGATGCCTGTAATCCCAGCAACTAGAGAGGCTGAGGCAGGGGAACCACCTGAACCCAGGAAGCGGAGGTTGCAGTGAGCCCACACTGTGCCACTGCACTCACTCCAGCCTAAGCAACAGAGCAAGACTCCATCTCAAAAAAAAAAAAAAAAGAAAAGAAAAAAAAGAAATACAAATAGGGTTACAAATACTTACTTTAAAAATGCGGTATATAAGCATCCCAAGTGAAAATATAATTTTTAATCTAACAACTTTAACTTTTAGAAGTGGAATTTCTAATCTTTTATGAATATCTCAAAAACATACAAATTTGAAAATTTTTTAGTACAAGCTATTTTCTTTTTACCAAGATAAGAAACATCTCTCTGTCCAAATATCACAAACAGTAAGTATAAAATGTTACATGTTCCATAACACTCCAGCACCTAGAAGTAGAGAAGTACTTAATAGCTCAATTACTAGAAAAGACTATAAAGAGCAACAATTCCTCAAGCACTTCCATCACAACATAGTATCAAGTTTCTTAAAAATTACAGTTATGGCTGGGTATGGTGGCTCACGCCTGTAATCCCAGCACTTTAGGAGGCTAAGCGGGGGCAGATCATGAGGTCAGGAGATCAAGACAATCCTGGCCAACATAGTGAAACCCTGTCTCTACTAAAATATACAAAATTAGCCAAGCATGGTGGCGCATGCCTGTAGTCCCAGCTACTCAAGAGGCTGAGGCAGGGGAATCAGTTGAACCTAGGAGGCGGAGTTGCAGTAAGCGAAGATCATGCCACTGCCCTCCAGTTTGGTGACAGAGCAAGACTCCATCTCAAAAAAAAAAAAAAAAACAACTTAGTTACATGTTTATCTACTTGCAAATAGCCTATGTCCCCATTCACAATTTCTGATATCCAGTAAGACAAAAATCTGTCACTTGTTTTTATGAACTTTTTTCTACATTTAAATGTATATTATATTAGCTATATTACTAAATTACATACTGTATGTGATGTTGGCAGGCTGGTGTCAAAATTTATAATGTTTGGTTTTTTGGCTTCTTTACTATCCTGGTCTTCAACTTCCATTTCATCTTCTTCCTCACTCTCTGCTGTAAGAGTAGAATATTGTAAGAAAAAAAAAGATGAAAACCCTTTCAAACACGTAATTCCATCTTCAGAAAAAAGGTGCTTGTAAAACCACATGCCTTTGGTAAACTCTACAGTACTGTGGAGAGGTAGCCAAAGCGCTGGGGTTTGCGCTGGGGTTTATACTGGGCTCTGTTACTAGCTATCTTTTTTTTTTTTTAAGTCAACTTTGAATTTTAGAACAGTTTAACATTTATACAGAAGTTGCAAAGATAGTACAAAGTGCTCCCGTATGTCAAACATACTTGTCCCCTATAGCTAACAATTTATATTAGCATTGTACATTTGCTACAACGGAGTCAGTCTTGGTATATTACTATAACTAAAGATCACATTTTATTTGAACCTCCTTAGTTTTTATCTAATCTTTGTTCTAGGGTCCCATATTACATTTAGTTATCATGTCTCCTACCCTCCTCTCAGCTAGGGTGATTCTTCAGACTTTGCTTGTTTCCGAGTTTTGAGGAATACTGGTCAGCTATTTTGTAGAGTATTCCTCAACTGGGTTTTGTTTGATGTAATTCCCATGATTAGACTGAAGCTACGTGTTCTAGAGAGGAAGACCACAGAAGTGAAGTATTGTTATTCTTTTCTTTTTTAGAAATGGGGTCTGTCACCAATGTACTGTTTTTATTACATATCAAGCCTACATATTATGAACTATCCCTGCTACTGTTAACCTTGATCACCTGGCTAAAGCAGTATGTGTCAGGTTTATCCACCGTAAAGTTACTCTTCCCTTTTCTCATTGTAGCCTTCGGCAGCAAATCACCAGGTGCAGCCTACACTTAAGGGGTGATGAATTATGTTCCACTCCCTTGAAGGGGAAATACCTATGTAAGTTATTTAAAATTCTTCTATATGGGAGATTTCTCTCTTCTCCTTCACCAGTAATTTTAACACCTTAGACAACTCATTCGGCCCAATTAAACTTTAGTGTCTTCATCTGCAAAATATAGGCTTGAACAAGTCAATCTCTAAGGTTCTTTCAAACTCTCAAGAGTTCCTACCTAAGAAAGAAAAGAAAGCAGGCAAGATCTGTTAATTAAAAGTGGGAGAAAGATAGAATCTGGCAGGAAGAATTTTACAGCATTTTTATAGTGACATCATTCCCCTGACTGTCACCATTACTATAAAATGAAGGCTGGGTGTGGTAGTTCACACCTGTTATCCCAGCACTTTGGGAGTCCGAGGCAGGCGGATCACTTGAGGTCAGGAGTGTGAGACCAGTCTGGCCAACATCTTGAAACCCCATCCCTACTAAAAATAGAAAATTAGCTGGGTGTGGTGGCAGGTGCCTGTAATCCCAGCTACTTAGGAGGCTGAGGCAGGAGAATCACTTGAACCAGGGAGGCGGAGGTTGCAGTGAGCTAAGATTGCACCACTGCACTCCAGCCTGCGGGACAAAGATTTTGCAATAATTTTCATACCGTTTTGCCTTGTAATTTTAAATTTAAAAATAAAGTTGGCATGAAGTATAAAACATTTTAAAAGAATGTCTTAGAAAACCAGATGTTACCCATGACAGCAAAGAAGATTAGAAAAAGCTACACTGTGATACAGGTGCTATTCTACTAACTGTGAGTCTGTCCTTTTCATACAAAGTATGAGTAAATTTCCTGTCCTAGATCAATGATTCTCAACCACAGGTGATTCTGCCCCTCGGGGGATATTGGTTGTCATAACTAAGGGAGTCTGATTGGCATCTAGGGGGTAGAGGCCAGGTATGCAGCTAAATATTTTACAATGCACAAGATAATCCCACCCAAAGAATTCTCCAGCCCAAAAGTCAAGTGCTGAAGTTGGGAAAACCTGGCCTAGATGGACAATAAAGGATTACTGAATCTCATTTCTCACTCATGTATTTTTTAATGCCCCAAATAAACTTCTAAATTGATAAAATGTCATTACAAAATCATCTTTTTTTTCCTTTGTGCATATCATTATTTAAGTCAAACCACTTCTATCCAGGTCCCTGACAGAAAATACAAATGTTTTTCAACATGGTAACTGCCTTGGACTTTCTATTTGTTGCTACAATTTCCTAGATATACAACTCCCTCAAAAACAGAATGACTTCAACCTATATGTGGTCAATTGTCTAACACTTCATACAGATTTTTCTTGGAACATGTAAGTTTCACCAAGAGATAAAGAACAATCGAAATGAATGAGAAAAATATTCTAAATCAAATTCTTTGTATTTCCAACTCTATCACTTGGCACGCAGCACAACCCATTTTACTGTTCTACTACAGAAAGTTTAAAAGATAAACTATGAGCTCAAAGGCTGGAATTAATATTGTTAAAAATTTACATTTTAACTCTTCTGACTTCCAGTCTCTAATCTCTTTGGTAACATTTTTTCATAAATATGGCTAAAAACCACTTTCCCCCACTATTAACATTTCACTTGCCTAGGATAAATTCTTCACATCTCAGATGTAAGGCTTTTTGTTGGAACTTAAAGGATTTACTCTTCAGAACAACTCGTACTACATGGAATTATGGAAAATCCAATGTTTTTCTACAAATAACACTTGTGTAATTTGGAAAGGCATTATTGCTATACCTACATCATCTATGGGCCCTCTATCATTTTTTTTCTGAAAAAACAAAAAAACATACACTGTTCAGAGCTATCAGAGTGAAGTTTGATGACTCATCTCATGCAGAGACACCATGTGAATGCTGACAGAACATCACTATCCTCCCTCTTCTATTCACCATTCTCCCTGAAACACTGGATTTGGCACAGAGAGTAGGGCTAATGTCTGGGAAAAAACAGCTCAGCTTTCCTCAAAGGCTGGCATACTTACCTTTATGTCAATTCAGCTAGGATGGCTTCAAGAACAACCACTGACTATAACTTATTTTTATAGGAAAGGTCTCTCCTATATGGTGGGCATGCACTCAGTCTCTTCCTCTTTTAATCCATGCTGCTAGCAGTGGACAAATTAATCTTCCAAGCACAGATTTCCCTAGGCAATTACCTGATACCTAACATTGTTTCTTGGCAACCCACAGGAAAAACCCCAACCCACTGGCAAGAGATGTCAGTTTGTCAACAACTTAGATCCAATCTACCTCCTAGGCCTTATGTCCCACAACCATATCCTAAATACGTGCTTTTGGATGTCTCCTGATTTACTGTAAAAGGCTTTTCCCCAACTCCTCTGACCCTCGAACAACCTGTCTCTGAAAAACCATAAAAGCATTCATTTATCTGGCCCTAAATCAACCGCCTCTGCAGCTGATTTATGTTTAGTTATATTCTCAGGAGCCCTGCCTAATAGTAAACCTCAAGTATCAGATTCTGTATTAGCTCTTATTTCATCCCCAAAACACCTAATATACTGTCATATAACGAAGGGATGCAGGTCATAGTCTCAAGTTTAGATGCATCTCTTGAAAAGCATTTCATGAAAAGTTTATACAATATTCCATGCCTTTTTGTTTTCTGCTTAGTATTTCAACATAAGGCCAAGGTCTAAACACTTCACACAACACACAGGAAAAAGAAAAACTAAGTATCTCTGATTAAGCATATTCGTACACGCCTGAGAAAAACAGACCAGTAGTAAGAAAAACAAATTAAATACAGAAGTGGTTTAGAGATATGACAGACACACCCGGGCTGGAATCCTGGATCCGCAACGGTGTGACCTTGGACAAGTCACTGAACTAATCTGCAAATCCATTACTCGCTTATCAAATCGGAAACTGAAAAGTGATGTGTCAAGGATTAAAAGGCGAAATGCATGCCAAGCGTTAACTGCAAGGCTCGTAACATGGTAAGTGCTTAGTACATGTTAGCTTTCACTCTTAATAAAAGGAAGGAGTCCAGCAAAAGTAACAGCTGTGAATCTGACCCGGTCCCCTAGTTTCAGAGCATTTCTTAGGAGCTGAACTCAGAAGACAGGGAGGATGGGAGGACAGGTTCCCTGTTCTTGGGAGCAAACGCCCCCCTACCTCCAACACCCTAGCCCACAGCTCCGGGCGACAGAGCAGCAAAGAAAGCGCCGCGACTCCATCGCTGGCCGAGGGCCGACGTGAAGCAGCTTCCCAGTGCGGCCCTGCTAGGCTGGCTGGCCGGTCTCGGCGCCCCCCACGCCCGCCTCCCTGGCCCAGCTGCACCGCGAGCGGCTCCGGGCCTCGCCCCACTCCCGCCTCCAGGGAACGGTTCCGGGCGGTTACCAGGCAGGAGCGGCAGGTGGTTGCCCATGTTGTGCGCAGCGTCCTGCTGGTCTCCCTCGCCGGCCATGTCTGTTTACCCGCAAAGGAGGCTGGGACAGGGCGGCGCCGGGGACTCCGGGGGAGGGTCCGCGTCTCTCCACTGCCGCGCACCGGGGCCACAGCGCCTCCTGGCGGACCCAGAGAAGCAGAAGGCGGCGCCGACCCAGACCTGGAAGTGATGCCCTACGCGGGAGGACAATTACAAGCCTGTGCTCTGCCCAGGACAGAACGCTGTCTCCTGCCATCCACGGCTAAATGCCCTTCGTACACGCTATCAGAGCCTTCACCTTGTTCCAGCCCTTAGCATGACTTATTTAATCATGACATTTTGCCTACGGAGAAACTAAGGCTGAAAGCCGTTAGTCTCCACCTTGTTCTTAAACGAAGGGGGCAGGAAGCAAATAGAAACCTGTTCATGCAGCATTAGTTTTAATTCTTAAAATAAGAAGCATGTATATAAAGGCTGGGGAAATGCATCAGTTTTTCGGAGAATGGTTGAATTACTGCTGATTTTCTTTTCAACAACTTCAGTAGTTTCCATATATGTACATTCCAAAATTAACAAGTATTAATCAGAAACATACTTGAAATGATGATTGCACAGAATGAAAAAAAGTCCTGTAATTGGTAAGTAAAATTGTCCGAATATAAACTAGCCTACTCATTATGACTTCAGCTATGTAAAAACAAGTCACTGGCAAAAAATAAAGACTACTTAAAAAATGAAGATAATTCTGTTATAATGGTGGAGTTGTGACGGGTAAGATATTTGTTTTGGAGGGTAGACAAAAGTTATCTTGGTGTATTTTCAACATCATATTTTCAGCGAGGAAAGAAAACTGAAAAATCCTTAAATGAGATACAGCAATACAGCATCTAAACATGGTGGTGGTGGTGGTGGTGGGTGGAGGGTGAGAAGCAGCAGCAGCATTGCTCGACAGAAAAGTCATGGATCTGTGATTTGAGAAAATGATTTCAGAACATTTGCCTCCCTGATAAGTTACAAGTGGAAAACTCCCTTGTGACAGGGGCTTGTGAATCACTCCTGTCTTATTTTGCCTTCTGTATCCCAACCGCTCTGTGGCCTTGGTCAAATCACTTACAGCCACAGGCCTCAGTTCGCCCATTTGCAAAATAAGAACGAACCAAATAGTGGCGCGTATCTGTTCCAGTTAATAGTGTCTGTCTGCAATATTAATCAGAGCATCACCTTTTATAATTAGGTTAATAACAATTACTTATATTACGTGATGAGATAATGGAGTTAAGGTGATCATTCTGGTCAACTGAAGGATTATTCTATGCCAGATCATTCTGGTCAACTGAAGGATTATTCTATGCCAGAATGCCAGCACAGAATGATGAGTGAATGACCAGTGTATGTGTGTGAGTGTGTGTATGCACGCAGGGAGCATGCACTAAGTAATAGGAGTGTGTGTTTGATGCTGTAGCATTATCAGTCTCAGTATAGTTTGCAGAATTTCAATAATCTCTGCTTACCTGCAGCAGAATTTTCTTTACACTAGCATCTGGCTTCTAAACAAGGAAGTTCTGACTTTCCACTGGTCCTCCCCAGAAGTGACAATGGAATTGTCTGAACCCTGGGTCAATTGAGAACTTTCTGGACAAGAAAGCACAGCTGCAAGCCGGGTAGAGTCCACAGATGTGGTTGGAGAAGCACTGGCTCTTTCTTCTTTTGTGCATTGCTTCAAGATTGCCAGAGCTCCCATCTGTGTATCTTTAACTCCCCATTCTCCTCCTTTTTTCCCCTCTTTTTACATTCACCATCTGCTCCCTCCTTCATTTTATCCCTTCAGAGTCTACCCAGTCATCCATAGCTACATGTTTCAATAGGGATAACAACAGATGATCATTGAACAAAAATATCTAAGTAAGCAGGTTTCTTGGATTAAGCACTGGTTATTAAAACCAGAAGGAAAACATGATCATTTGCCATTGATTTTTAATTTGGTAAATTTATCCTGAAACAAGATATCATACTGAGTTCCTCACATTTCCTCTTGGTTGCATGAAATGTCGAAGGGTAAGGAGCTCTGCAAACCAGAAGGAAAAGAAATATATAGGTTCTCAGATCACTGTCTTACAGCTCAAGAATTAACTTTAATAGTACAGAATTGAGGCTGGTGTAAGATGGGAGAAAATGTAAATGAAAAAGACCATCGCTCTTTCAATATCTGGTTTCTACACAATATTAGCAGCAAGAGATATGTATGCTGAGAGAAGACAAGAAGACATTTCTGTCTCCCCTTTTCTTAAAATTTCTCTCTACATACATATCTATTTATTCCTCAAGACAGGGTCTTGCTCTATCCTAGGCTGTAGTGCAGTGGTGCAATCTTGGCTCACTGCAACTGCCACTTCCCGGGCTCAAGCGATCTTCCCACCTCAGCCTCCAGAGTACCTGAGACCATAGGCACCAGCCACCACAGCCAGCTAATTTTTGTATTTTTTGTAGAGACGGAGTTTTGTCATGTCACCCAGGCTGATCTAGAACTCCTCAGCTTAAGCAATCTGCCCACCTTCACCTCTCAAAGTGCTGGGATTAAGGGATTAAGGCATGAACCACCACACCGAGTCTCATATTTAACACATTTTTTAATGTGTTAAAGAATGCTACTACTCTGGTCTAAGCAGCTGATGATCTCTTGCCTGGAGTATTGCGATAGCATCAATACTGGTTTCTTGGCTTCCACCCTTAGCTCTACAGCGCTTTCTCAACAAAGCAGTCTGAGTGATCCTGTTAAGCCACAAGTCAGATCATGTGAATCCCCGGCTCAGTACCCTTCCTTGGCTTCCCATCTCCCTTGCAATGGTCCTTATAATGCACACTGGGTCCCTTGTGTCCTGCCCTGATGTCACTTCACTGCTGCTCTGTGGGCTTTCCCTCCCCTCCTTCAACTGACCTTCTTATTCTGCAACCACATGGACCCATGACTACCTCAGGGCCTTTACAATTCCTTTTCCTTTGCCTGGAATGCTCTCCTCCCACATGGATGCATGACTTTCTCCCTTATATCTTTTGGGTCAAATGCCCCTTCCTACACGACCTAGTGTCAGACTGTGACCCTCTTCCCAGACTTCCCACCATTCTCTACCCTTCCTCTCTGCTTCATTTGCCTTCAAAGCATTTCTCAGCTTCTAAAATACTATGAGGCCTCGATGACAGAGTGAAATCCTGTCACCAAAATAATCATAGAATAACAAAATACTGTGAGGCTTACTTTTAAAAATGGTCTCATTTCTCACCCCTCAAAGATGTAAGGTCTGGATGGGGGAATCTCTGCTCCCAAGAACGGGTTCTGGCAATTAAAAGCTGCTCAAAAAAATGTTCATTAAATGAAAGATGAATTGCACAGCTGTGGCAGACACTGCTGACTTCCTACCTACTCAACAGCAATTCCTCTTTCCTGCCTTGCCAAGAACTCTGACTTTGTTTGGGGCAATAGTGTGCTCTACTATGGGGTCGTGTTCGCTATAAGCCTGAAATAATGAGCCCAGTCTCTTCCCCAAGCTCCTCTCTGGCTGATGGTATCACCTGACCTGGTCCTAGCTGATGACACCTAGAGAAAGTCAGCTTGGTAGCCTCTGAGAACGATAAAGGGGGAAGATGACTTTTACAAGAGATTTTCCTCTGTGATTAAAGGCAAAGATGTCATTCCTGCCCACTTCCTGCTGGGATGAAGATTAAGACCCATATTGGTTTGATGGATAAAGCCAGCCAACCTAGACCAAACAGCCAAAAATTTTTTAAAGGAAACTGTGGATTTTAGAAAAAGCAAAGCTAGATTAACTTGTAGGCATATCCGGTTACCATTTTTTGAATAGATGAATTCATTAATTTTGGATCTGCATAAACCTTCCCATGCTTTCTCCCTTGGGGCAAAAGCACGGGTGAGACGCAAGCAGCTCCATGGCCATGTTCCTCTCGCAGTGCTGCAGTTCCCTCTGCCACTCTGTGAGACAGAGGTAACAAACAGCTGGCCTCCCAAGCTAGAGGCTTTCTTGCCCTGTGTGGTATTTTAAGTTTTTGAATTATATGATTGCCAGCCAGCATTTGGCAATTGAAGAGTGCAGATACTAATATTGATTTCCAGCTTCTCTTTAAAAATGGGAAGATTTGGCAACCATAGGTCAGATTCATGCATGGGAACAATTATCTGCAACTAAATAACAATGCCTGGTTTAGATGGGGCAGCCCCTGTCGGTCACAGAACTCAACCAGCCAGTATGTGTGTGTTACCTGCCTAGATCTGGCCTGCATTTGTGTATGCAACCACTTATATGAGTAGGTAGCAATAGATAGGGCAACCCCACATTGCGATTTGCTCAGGACAGCCCTGGTGTGTGTTTGTTCTATCAGCGTAACTACCAGAGCAGCCCCATACCTTGCCTCATTCCACTCTTCAAAGTATGCCAGTTTGGGCAATAAATTATCCTCCATATAAAGCGGCAGAGGTGCTTGTGGGCAGAGGGACTGGGCTATGTGGACATCATTGTCTGCTTGGAGAGTCACATTCATATTCAGCCTCCGTTGACAATGAAGGGTCATAATTATCAATCTTTAAATCCTTTGTAGCTCTCTGATTCAGTCAGAGAGAAACATGTTCAGGAATTTTCTTTGAACTATGCTAGTTATGCTGTCACTAACTTAAAATAAAAAGTCTTTAGAATTAAACCAGGGTAATCCTCAAATTTCCAGTCTTCTGAGGCTACAATTTCCTAAACTTGTCCCAGTGGAAAAATCTTTGAAACTTTTTTGGCAACCTATAAATCAGGAAAAATAGTAAAATTTTCAGGAAAGCCTTTTTTTTTTTTTTTTAAGTCTCCTTCTTACCATTAAGTTCAGGGGCTGGAAGCCATGGCTGTGGAATGTGTACAGCAGCATTTTATCCTGTAAATCCCAGAATTACAAGAGAATGAAAGATAGATCTTGTCAGCTTTATGCAGACCTAGAGAGAAGAAAAACAGGGAAGCCTGCTCTGTTAGCAGGTATGAAACCAGACGTCGTAAGAGTATTTCATAGCCCCTTCAAAATGTTGACAATTTATTACTAGCTCAGTTTCCTATTTCAGTAATATGGTGAATAATTTGGGATTT